TCCGTTTTCTTCCTTATTTCAAGCACCTCCAATTCCATCAGAGGCGAAGTAACCGGTAGCTAGGATCGACCGGATTGCGCATCATCAATCTCTAAAACAACTATTTATAATTTATGGGCAATTTCTGAACGATTACACGTGGGCAGTTTCTAAACAGTTATATATAGGCAATTTTTAAAGTGAAAGTAAAGGACATATATGCCTTATTATGCCCACTGTATTCTTAGACTGTATTCTTAGACAGGGGGACAGAAAAACGTCCAATGAAAATTCTAGAAAAAAAAGGGCATTCACTCTTTTATAGGTAGTATAGATTTATATATGTAATAATAATTATATAATAACATATAATATATTAATATATATATTTTAATTTTCAATTTTATTATAATATTTTATTTCAATTGTATTGTAACTTTTTAATTTCATTTTATTATTTTATATATAAACAGTTGTATACATTAAAGTTCATATAAAATAAAATTTTAAGATATTTTACTCATTTTTTTGTCTATCTTGTTAATTTATTTTAAAATTTTCATGATTTTTTTTAATTTTTTTAATGCTTCTCAGGGCCTGGCCTGGCCCAACCCACGCCCGCCTAGGCTCATGCTGGGCCTGACTTATGAAGTATCCCAAAAGTAGCAAGCACGGCTCAGCCTGGCCCACACCATGCCGTGCTGGTCCAACATGGCCTGATTTACACCTCTATTGTAATCTCCCTATTCACATAAGCAAAAGTAAATGATACAAGTGCAAACACCATTAAATATCCAAAAACAAAAAAAAAAAGAAAAAGGTACAAATTTACGGGCTACAATTTTCCCATGTTTATTTATTTTTTATTTTTTAGGGGGGGTTTATAGTTCAGTCCACCCCTAGGGTGGAGCTAAGATTTCTACGTGTAAAATGAATCTTACCCGTGGATTAATGTCAAATTTACGGGCAGAATGCGGTTTATAGGGGTGATATTAATAGAATAGAACGGGACTGCAATCGATTGCAGTTCACTTATCCCTTTTTTATTTTCGTTTTCTACAGGGTACTTTTTACTCTTTTATTTAGGGGTTGCTTGTTGTATCTTTATAGAATTTTTATATATGTCATCTATTGATTTAATTTTGTCATTGTCAGACTAGCTTGTTGCTTTTAATAGCTTCAGACCTGTACAAAACATCAACAAGAAATGCCGCCACAGTTTTTGTGCTTCAGATCACTTCTTTTGAGCATATTTGAAAAGTTTTGACAATTTATAGTTCGTTTTGTAAGAATCTAGTTATGCTTTTAAGTTTTTTTGGTATTTGATTTTTAAGATTCAACACTTTAGATAATTAAATTCAGTTTATCTTATTACAAACTTTTAATACTTTTTGATATCACAGCACTGCCGACTAGAGAAGCCTTCCATTGCAATCCCCCAACACCTTAGTCGCATCCTTTTCTTTGACTTCTAACAAAGTTATATATATATATATATATTTATTTATCTCGATTTGAAATAAAAAAAGTTTTATGTGTTTGCATTGGAAAAAGAGTTTGCATTCAGCAATTAGATGAAAACTTGTCAGTTATGCTTTAGAAAAAAAAAAAAGAAAAAAGGAAAAGAAAGGTTTGATTGCGTTGGTTCCACTCTCCGCTGGACTATATTAGTCCTTAACTCCTTATGGACAAGAAAAGGGAGTGTAGCATGATTTTCGTTTTCTTTAGTTGAAAATAACTGATTTTAGTTCATGAATATGTAACCAACCTTAGTGCTATAAAAAAATTAAACAAAGAACTAATAGAAAATATGCCATTAAACAATGTTGGTCTTAGCTCTGTAGGGTCTTGGGAATGGACTTCAAACCATCAGCTTGATATTTCGCCATTAATTACAACGGTCAATCATAGCTTTTGTTATAAAAATGTTTGTTTGGTAATAATACAATGGGAAAATTCCTGTATTTTGGGCTTAATGTTACTTTGGTTTTTTAACTTTAAAATGTGGTAATTTAATATTCAAATTTTTAAAACGTGTCAATTCAGTACCTGCCTTTAACCAGTCATCAAGTGGCATTTGAAAGACACAAATGTTTTTCCAATGTTATTTAATTTTCTTTATCTACCATTCAAACGTTGACAAAAAATTAACAATCTTAAATTCTTGTTTTTTCTATTTAATAAGGTTGGGGGCACATCTTAGTGGGCAATTTGGACCCCCAACTTTCTTGAATAAAACAGGCTAGGATTTATGACTGTTAATTTTTTTTTCAATGCTTGGGTGGTTGATAAAAAAAAATTAAATTACACTCGAAGGGCATTTATATCTTTTTTAAAAGTATTTAACGGTTAATTATATAACAGCTGGTTAACGGTAGGTACTGGATTGACACATTTTGAAAGTTTGAATAATGAAATGCCATGTTTTAAAGTTCGGGGACCAAATGGCAATAGACCCAAAGTACAGGATACTAATCAGAAATTTTCCCTAATACAAAATAACCAAAATAAAAATTTAGGGGGTGTTCTTCAATATAAGTTGATTTTCTTGTCATGAATCCAAAAACAAATCAAGAGAATCTGGTTTAAAACAAATTAATTCTTAAAATAAAAACATGAATAACCTGTTCTTGGTTGTATGTGTGTTAAAAAACAGAAAACAAAAACGTGTCCTTTCTGTACTCCAAAATTTGATTGTGTTTTAAAAACCATTCAATGGTTTCAAAAACAAACTTATTTGTTTATTTAGTGCTGATATGTAAACAAATGAAAAATCAAAATCAAAATGATGTTATTGAGCTTGTATTTCGAAAAACTTTGGTATTTGTATTTTTAAAAATTAAAAGCACAAGACTAGGCTTTGTATTTAAGATCTTAAAAGCATTTTAGCTTCATTGTTAAATTAAAAAATGTTTAAATGGTGATGGTTGTGGGGGCGGTGATGACTAGGGCCACTGCCTTATTGAATGTAAATAATTGATGTGTGATGATATTTTGAAAAGAGAAAGAAGGAAAAAATGGTATACATGGGAAGTGGTCCAAGTGGATGATGCTGCAATCCAGATTCCTTACGGCTCTCTCTATCTCAGTGAGTCAGTGTTGTGGACTGTGGTGGGATCAGGCATCATCAGCCCATGAGGGTGTAGTCGTCTTTTATGGGTGTGGATTTTCGTGTCACCTAAGTAATGTCCACTGCTTTGATTTGATTCTTGATGGTTGGTTGTTCAACTGTTAAACTGTATAGAACTTGATAACCAATAATTCAGTTGGATTACCTAAACTGGATGCCTCAATCCTCTTTTAATAGTAGAATCATCTTAAATTAGTCAATTTTTATTTTATTTTTTTCTTTTGAGAGTATTTATTTTTTTAGATTTTGAGAGGGGGAAAATTCGTTAATGGGGTTTTAGTTCTCATTGATAAAGAACCCCATCTTCTTTTTTCAGATTTATATAGGGACTAGAGAAAGTTTATTTTCTTGAGTATGGTAAGTGATACCCATCTCCTAGGTGGGTAAATAACTTTTCCACCTAAGAGGAAGTTGTCAACACTTCTATGAGACAAAAATGTCCCTTTTAATAATAAATTTTTATGGCTTAAATAGACATTTTCTTATTTAAATGAGAAAAAAAAACATGAGTTTATATATATTTATTTGAATAAGTGTTTTTCACGAAAAACTTACCCACATAACTGTATTTACCCGAATAAATAGCAAAATCCAGTGTCCAGGGTCTGGCACTCCACCTAATGAGTTGTTACATGCATATATGGTAACTGGCTTATGCGGCCTTTGTTTGTCTTTTATAATAGAACTAGAAGAGACCCGTGCGTGTGAGGTGCATGAAGTAGCTAGTATTAGAAAATGACTACTTGTATTAGGGGAGTGATTACAGATTTCATAATAATAAAATGAAGATTGAATCACATGTTTTAGTTATTAAAAAAAAATTACATTACAAAATTCTAAAAAAGGGATAAAGACTAGACAAGAAAGAATTAGGCTGAGGTGGACAAAAACTACTTTACATTACACACCTCTGAGGTCTGACCTCTCAAGTCTCAACTCAAAACTCCCATCTTTAAAGAATAAGTCCCTGCAATCAGCAAGCGTACGTGCGTGCTTTTTGATTGCGCTAATTGCCATTTTTCCAATCGCGCGGAATCAATTAAATTGGGCTCAACACTCAATTCCTCTTTTATTCTTACTTACATATTGGTAATTAATAATTTTTAGTTTTTTACAGCCCTTCCACCTTCGGTCCTCTCCGTTGCGTAGTCTCATATTCTCATGATCTTAGACCATCAGCATCCCCAACACCGAGTAGAGGAATCTTCCTCAGAGCCTTAGCCCTACTTATACCTTATGGCTGCGTTTATTTTCGGTGTAAATACAAAACTACGCATTTGTTTTCGTTTTCGGTATAAATATTTAAATATAGACCGATATAAAACTCCACTCCCTGCAACGATGACTCACTAATAATGTGTATTTGCTAGCTCCCTCATTCATTCATCCAAGATCTCCCCAAAAATGCCGTGCCTTTACAAAGCCATACAACTAACGTCATCAATCAATCAATGAATTAATTAAGATATTTAAAGTTCAATCCAGGGATTTTTTATTGGGTTTTTAACAATTTCGCATGGAAGGAAAAAGGGGATGAATGAAAAGAATATAAATAAATAAACTGAATCACACCATTTTATTTCATTCTTAGATAAAAACAAAAAAAGTATAGGAACTAATTATTAGACATAATTCTCTGCACATACGAAAATGCCATTCACCCTGTGTTTCTTTTTTACTTTCTTAACACCTATTTACATTAATATATCACCTGTACAATGCTAAACTAGGATTTACATATCATGTATCAAAAAAAATAAAAGTCGAGATAGAGAGATATTAACAAAACACTCCTTGTGCTCTTTCTATTTACACCAAAACCCAAAACGCTAGAGTGTCACTTTTTCCGCCTTTGCCTATATATTTATTTTAGATTTGTTTCTACTTTTGTAAATTTTATTTTGCTTTCCTCTAAAGCAAAGGCTTTCCTTTCTACAGAGTTCCCACACCCCCTCTCCCTCCTTGTTCGGTCGGCGTTCCCTCCACTTGACAAGTCAAAACTCAGAAGGGAGCACGACGAGGGATACCCTTTCTTCTTCTAGCCGTACGGTAATTGACGATGGGCGGAGTTGCCGGACATATATTTTTCACCCCCTCATCACCTGAACTCGTGTTCTTCTCCACAAAATCCTTTTCCCCGTCGGGTGATAATATTGGGTCCATGAAACGGTTGAAAATAGATGTCTTCTTAAGCTTCTTGGGGGTCGACGAATCGTCCGTATCAGAGCCATGAAGCACATTCCGATTGTGTTTCAACCGCAATGTAAATGTCAGATCCGGGTTACCACACTTCATGCCTCCTAGCTGACAATTGAAGGAACGAGGATGTTTTCGTCATTTGGTTGTCCAACTCCATTGCGGCAGCGCCGGAATGAATGGGAATCCCAATTTTCCAAAATATCCAGAATTCAAATCACAAATTACAAATAACAGAGCAGGTGCCAAACCACAAGGAAATAATAATAATAATAATAAAAAAAAAAAAAAAAAAAAGCAAAAGCAAGGTCAAGTAACAGATTGGGGGCAGCGGGCAGCGGGCAGCGGTGAAGAAAACTCAAGTGGAGAAATCGTAACAGTAACACCAAAACAGAGCAACTTAGAAAGTTCCTGCTTAATAAAAATAAATTTCATTTCCTTATATGTCATATCTTGTAATCTTATTGGAAAAGGTCCAAATTGGTGTACTTGTGTAGAAACTAGAAACCCTACTTATTGAAAATCTACTCTGCATATATGAATATGGCAGGTGCTCCAGCCCATAGAAACAAAGTGAAAACCGATAGTTTCAGTAAGAAACCCGAAGATAGAACGATATATAAAAACATGGGATTGAACTGATGCACGAAAAACACGACAGGGCAATAAATAAATTCACAATATCGATCTATAACAAGTCCAGAGGCCAGATAAACAATAAAACAAACAAACAAACGAAGAAGCAAGTGATGTCTATAAATGCTAAATTCAATGAATAACTAATAATCACCAAAACGGGAAATGGGTATTCCCCAGGAGAGTAGAGAATCTTACTTTGCACCCCAGTGAGCAGAACCTGAAAGAATCCAGAAGACTTCGAGAGCAAATCTCGCAAGTGTTAGTAACGCCCTTTCCCGGCCTTGGTTGCGGCCTTTCATTGAGGAAAACGATCTTCGCGCTATTGATAATGTAGGTCTGAATGGCGGAGATGTCGATGAATTTCTGAACTTCATTAACCCTAATGACGTTGTGGTATGAAGACCTCCTTATCTATTCAACAAGGTATCCCCAAGGCAGTGAATTAGAATACCAATCCATCGTTATAGAGACTTGCGCACGGGCCCAAACAGAAACAACAGAAAAACAGAGTCCAGCAAGATGGAAAACATACCTGAACAACGCGATGGTCTTTGTGGTGGACCAAACAATAAGAGCAGATAGCATACCCCATGCAGTCTAAGCAATACAGGTTGCACTCGCTCTTGTTGGAATCTCTGTGGATTAAACAGGGAACGAAGTAGCTGGCCTTCAACATAGGTTTCAACCACGGCGGACCCAAATCGTCGTCGTCCATTGGAACCATTGGCCTTACCTGAGAGAGCATACAATACCCAAATTCATCAAAATTCAAAAAGAGAGCCGCAGAGAATGAATAAGAAGAAGAACCGAATATCCAACAGCGCACCATGACTTTCTTTTGCTTGGTCTTTACAACCCCAATAGCGTGTTGTTGATTCTCGATATCCAGCTTGTCCAGTTATAGAAGAACAGAGCAGAAAACCCTAGTAACCAAAGCTGGGGGGAAAAATAAGCCACATTAGAAAGGAAAGGAGATTGGGAGAAAGGAAGTGGAAAAGCAGCAACTTTCAGTCTATAAAATGTTGGGCTGCAGCAGTAAAAAAATAGTAGCATGGTTCTAATCAAGTGTTCAAAGCCATACCTTTGATAGACGATGATTCAGAAAATGAAAAATTAGCACAGAGGCGAGAAATTTTGATAGGATGGATAGAATTCATAGAAGAGAGGGCGATGCGATACTATTAGGACAGAAAAGGAGAGAAGAGAGAAAGGAAGGGGACTAAAGAGGATAGGCTGGTTAGAACAAGGAAAATATATAAGGCGGTGTTTTTAATCGACCGGTCGCTGAAATTTTTCATCGTGCGTGGTGTTTTTAATCGACCGAGGCAGAATGAGACAGCAAAGCAAGATTCTGTCTTCTAAGTTCTTACCCGTCGGATATATGTATATAAAATATTTCGCAAAGATTTCTAATATTTAATATTTAATTTATTTTTAAGGGGATTCCCTCTTTATAGATTATAGTGGGTTTATTACATTCGAAAAGGTTAACATTTTTTTTCTCAAAAAAAAAAAAAAAAAAGAGTAAACACTGAATTTCATTGGATAGGATTAGATTTAGATGATGGAACCTTGTCTCTCCCTAGTACCTCCCTCCTTCAAACTCTTTGTAATATGTATGTGTGAAGCGTGAAGGAAAAACGTGACACAAAGAAACTTGTACATATTACGGAATGGCGTATAATAAACAGGCGGCGGTTTCAGATTTTTCTGGTGTCAGATGCCTGGCTGACACGGTTATTTTGGCTTTATAATTAAAATTAAAATTAAAATAAAAAAGAAATTTAGAAAAGTATATATGTCTTATTTGAATAATAGTATAATATAATATGAGAGAAAGGAAAATTGAAAGTTGAGAGTGTTGAGGTTGCTCCCACTCCCCTATCCTTTAAATAATTTTGTTTGAGGTAGTTAATTAATATAATAACAGTACCTTACACTTACAGAGGTGGAGTATGAACTAACGAGGCAATGGCTCGTTAAAAGACGAAAGCTGATATGCATTCTCAACCGTGTGATTTGTTAAATACAAATTTTGAATGCATATATACACACTTGGAAACGGATCCTAATACGTAATACCCAAATGTCATATGTGTGAACTTGCCGTTTTTTAAACAGTCAACACCACGCGTGAATGCTGACGCGTGTACAACAGTAATTAGGCGATATGTGTACAAGAGTAAGTGCTGAACCGTTTTCTCCTATGAATTGCATATAGAGCATAATTTATCTGAAATGCGGTGGAGCCTGAAGAGACTAACATTCTTTACATCTTTGCTTTCCTATTTTTTTATCAATCAGCCTCTTTGGCTCAATTTGATGATCCCTTACTCACTGACTGAAGCATCGGAGAGTTCACTTTAGGGACAAACCTTGGGATTCTCCCCTTTTGCAAGTTTATAGAAGTAGCTAGATTCAACTGCTTACTTTGTTTCATCCTCTTTCCTCCTCTTTTATCTATTGACTAGATTTTGAGTGCAACATGGCACCATTTGTGAGAATCGAATGGAGAACCCACATTACCATGGTTTTTGAAGACATATACACACACACACCAATGCGAATATGGACTCTTGAAACCAGTCCCTCTCCCAATAGGTGTCCACATTTGCTTTAAGCTGACCTAAAAACCAACCTCCATCGGATCTTAAGCAACTCGTTCTAGAGGTTAGACTTGGCACATAAGAACAAGTCGAGAACCTTCAATGTTGGATCAACGACCTTACTACCTTGCTGTCTAGTAACCAAGGAAGATCTCAGCAATAAGATAGGATTCCAAGCATCCAATCAGCCACTACTACCGCATCGGCAGTCGAACCGAGCAGACACATCACTTGAGCTATCAAAACAAGTAGTAGAATTGACGGTACTCTAACCACATGAATACTTAGTCCAACTACAATGGTAGTCGACCATAACAAATACCTCAAAATAACCATAATTCATGGGCCTCAAATAATCAAGCCCATCGTTCGAAAGCCAACATGATTAGTAACGGACTCCACGTATGCAAAAGATATTAAGCCAATTACCACATTTGAACCCCAAATGATCCTAATTATACCCCTCTGAACATTTCTTAGATGCAGATCCAACTCAAAGTCCGAGACAAACCCTTAGGTGCGTATACCCACATAGGACACTTGACGGAGCAATGGGGTGATCGCCCCTAATCAAAACGACAGAGATATCGTGATGACCAAGCCACCACCAAGTATGGCTCACTTAAAGATCTAACTGATTTAGGTTCAATAGGGAATGGTGTCGAGCAATTAAGTCGTCAAGTTGGACTTTATTCATGCAATGGTCGCACCAATAATCCAAGACTTAGTCACTGATACAAGTCCAACTTACCTAGAAGGGAAAGAAGGTCCAATCGAGGAATTGAACGACTCAAACAAAAGGGACCTCACATCAGTCTACTTGATGCACCAACACAGCCACACTAAAGAGTAGAAACATTTTGGCCATCTACCTGACTTGACTTGCAAAGGCCCTAAATGGGTCACTACGACAAGTCGGCTTGGTCATGCCAACTTAGCTTTCGACCATGCATAGGTGTAACAACCTCAAACAGGCCACCTTGGTTATCACACAAAGAAACTAAGGAAACAATTAGGCATGAATTGGTTCATAGTCATAGGAGCTTAGTGCCAAAAGAAAATTTTCATTACTATTCAAAAAGTCGCCTTAGACTCCCAGAGACTATGAGTAAGAATAAGAAGAACAAAAAATAAAAAAAAAAAAGAATGCGGCTACCTCCTTAGTAGTGAGAGACTCCACCAAGGCACCCTCGGCGTACAAAAAATTGAGATTAAGGTCAGGGTTATGCTCGACAATGTTCACCCCACACATCGAGAACCGCCCATGAAGGTGATCACCCCATACTCATTAAGGGCATTCGTAATGGTCCTTTGACACCTTATATGTAGCCACAAAATGGGCTCCATAGTTAATCAGGGTTTGAATTTGGCAACCTTTTGCTCGATCTCTTCGGCTTTCTCCTCTATCACTTGTGCTCTCTTTACCCCTACCTCGCCTTGGCCTTTAGCCTTTCATTCTTCGTCTTTGTCTTAAATGACATCTAGGCGAGACAGTCACAAATCATGTTCATAGAAAAGATGCCATGCAAGAAAAGGTTAATTAGGATGGTAGGGAAAAATCAAACTAAATAGTGTGAACAGAAGGAAAGAGTACCAACCTCAATTGCCAACATGTAAGTGTAGCGCTAAAGAACCTTGGTAGAGTTGGATTCCTCCAGATCCATGAGAAGGTAAATTTCTCGAGCTAATGCCTTGGCTACTCGACTATTCCTCATGAAGTCAACCTCAGCGATAGGGGCAGGCTACTCTGGCACAAATGACCTCCTTCCCAATACTAGAGGAGCAACCTTGCAGGTCCCTATCTCGATATGGTCATCGCCTAGGATCTCGATGTGTTCTTGAGTGACTACCTTGGTGACCACTTCCTACCTCGACTTTGTCTAGGCATGCTTCCTTTTAGCAGCTTATGATGAACGGTCATACATGCATCAAGTAAAGCAAACATCAATACGGACACAAGTTTGGTCGGCTCAGGGAGCCTCAAATAAGAATTACTTGACATTGACCTTAGCACTGAGCAAATTCGTGAAAAGCTTGAGCTCTTTCTTGACCAGCTCAAGATCTTTAAAGCTGCTTGCAAGGGCTAAAAATCTCGCTGGTAACCTATACTCCCCTTGCCCGTTCTCTAGGGGTGAGCAATTGGTTTATTCAGTTAAAAACAAAACCAAATAAACCCAGATTATAAAACTCATCATTTGGAAAGGAAAATTCAACCAAAATAGGAATAATGGATAATTGAAATCAATATTTTTTGTTCAACTTTTAGTTATTTCGATTAAAATTGAACTTCTTTAATATATTAATCTACATTAAAATATTAATATATATTATATTATATATAGATATTCTATATAATATATAAGATATATATATTAATATATATTATATAAACAATAAAGTTTGATTAGTTTGGTTTTTTTTCAACTGAATTTCCTAACCTAAAAATTGAAAATTTGTAAAACCAAAGTAATTGGACCAAAGAAAACAAAATTGAAAATTTTAGTTTGGTCTTTTGATTTTAATCGAACAATGATCGCCCCTACCATTCACATAGAAAAATTGCTCCTTCAAGTGTGGTCAGAAGGAGCCCTTGAAAACCAAATGCCCTTATTCTAGGCAGCAAAGTACTTCCTCCTATTAGGCTGATTATGGTTCTTCAACACAAAAAAAGCACCTTGAAGACCCTATTAGACAGACCACCCAGATGGATTCGAGCCGCACAGGTTGTAGATATAAGGAACCTCACTGAGTTGAAAACTAGAAGATAAACAATCGCTCAATGTTCCATTAGGATATCAGCCACATGATCATTTATCGGGAACCATAGCTTGACCTTAAGGTTATCTTCATATACGCATAGCTAGTCCATGGGGGGTTCACAAGCCCTCCCCTCCTCATTCGGCACCCTCATCTTGAACTCCTTAGATATATGGTACTTTCATCCAATAATTGCAATGTCTCATTGCCCCAGGGCACTCTTGATGAATTGAGCACCCTCCTCGAACAACTCCCCAGCATCGTCCTTGGTCATTGGACACACGATATATGTTCACCTCAACTCCCTCATCCTTAGACTCCTTAGCTATGAGCTTGTCATTCACATCGATCTTCGAAACTTGGCCTCCTCAGACTTGATTTTGAAAGAAGACTTATCCCCAAATAGATAACTATAGGACTGGGTTTCTCTAACCATGGACATTATGGTTTGCTCAACCAAGCTACTTTAGTCACTAGCTAGCTCCATCATCGAGTTAGAATTGGAACTGAAATTGGAATTGAAACTATAACTAGAACTAGAACTGGATAAGGAGATACTGACCTCCTAGATGTCAACAAACACCAAGTAGCACTAAGCCAAACGCTAGGTGACCTCTATTTACTTTCTCTAAGCTCAAGAAGAAAAAGGCAAAGTCTCAATTGGTCAAGACTCTTCATTATAAATGCTCCTTAAAGGCCTAGATTGGTTTTCCACCAATAGTCTAGATTCCACTCAGATCTGACCAATGCCATGTGTAGGTAAGGTGGTTGCTAGGCTAAGGAGGTGGTCTCTTTGAAAGGCAGATAAAGACCGTAGGCAAGGATGTTGAATCCAAGGCTAGGGAGAGAAGAGAGGGTGATGGAGTCGGGAACC